GAAGTCGCCATCCCCTTGAACCATTATAAAACCATCAACGAGGGCATGTACCCTCCACCCCACCCCCCTCCTCGGTTCGTAGGTGGTGGTGGTGCAGCAGGTGGTGGTACAGGTGGTGGTGGTAGCTGGCAAGAGCTACCACCACCATCGCTGGCTGTCATGCGTGTCTCCATTCCCTTCACCCCAAAGTCTTCATGTCTTGACCATCGTATATAGCAGCACACAACCTTTAAGTCCTATGTAGAAGGGCAAGAGTCCACGGACACAGGTGCTACACTCTACCTGGAGAGGGGGTCTCTGGAGTTGTTCTACTCAGAGGCCACGCGCGACACTATATATATACTAATACTATAATATACTGATCCATGGCCGCAATATTTTCTTAGCTATGTCACGTTCTTGTAATTTCATTTTAAGTTATTCATAATACACTCTGAAAGTGTTAGACACGTTGGTTCCAGAGCTGCACGTAGGAACACACCACGAGACATGGCAGGGTGTGGCAGAAGAGGTACGCTTAATGTACACATTACGGGCCAAAGACTTTTCAACGCTCCCTCTAATCATAAGGGGCATAAATAGCTGACCTTTAGCAGTGTTCAGAAGAGAACTTGATAAACACCTCTAAAGGATACCTGATCAACAAGGCTATGATTCATGTATCAGGGTGCCTGCAGCGGCGTCTGACAACCTGGTTGACCAGACCACCAACCAACAGACCTGGTCTCGGGGACATAGATTTCCGGAATCGATAATAAAAAAAATGTAGGGTAGTGCGTTTCAACGACCCCAGAGGGCGGTAGAGTCTAGCCTTTGAACTCCTTTCCCTTCTGTCTGGCCATAGAATATGAGAGACGGAGTTTTAAATCGTCTAGAGATGATTTTTGAATTTGAGTGTGTGGGGCACATTTTGAACAGTGAGAGAGTTTGAGGAGCAAACCAAGGGGAGCCGGTCAGCCGAGCGGACAGCACGCTGGACTTGTGGTCCTGGGTTCGATCCCGGGCGCCGGCGAGAAACAATGGGCAGAGTTTCTTTCACCCTATGCCCCTGTTACCTAGCAGTAAAAATAGATACCTGGGTGTTGGTCAGCTGTCACGGGCTGCTTCCTGGGGGTGGAGGCCTGGTCGAGGACCGGGCCGCGGGGACACTAAAAAGCCCCGAAATCATCTCAAGATAACCTCAAGACAGTGGGAGGGGGAAGAGACTGTAATCTTATTGGGCCGCAAAACTCGTCTCTCGCCCACATTGACAGTGAAGTAATGAATGTAAATGTAATCCAAAAGTTAGGTGTAAATTGTGATTATTTAATGACGTGGTTACGGCGCCAGAGGAGATGTGTGTCAATCACTCCATATCTGACCGCGCGTCAAGGGGGGAAACCTGCATTTTGTTTGAAGCATCATAAAAGGGAACATTAAAGCGGATGGAACACGTTGAACTTTTTAAGTGAATAACGCTGCTCAGGTGCTTATGGAGGGCTCTTAATGCAGGCCGCCTCGCTAAAGTTTCCCAACGTCAAGAAAACTGTCAATTTAAATTGTCCTGTCTTAAGGACATTTTTATTTATTGCCTATTTATTGCCTGTCTCTACTTCATCACAATCGACTTGAGAATGGTCCAGGACGGACCGAAACGTCGTCGTCCCTTCACCTTCTAGTGTGTGGTCTGGTCAACGTCCTGTCCTAACCTACCAGAGGACCCAAAACAGAAGTGAAGATGAAATAGTGAAGAGCAGGAGTGCCAAAGGCACAGTTAGAGAGAACTGTATATACATCAGAGGTCCGCGGTTGTTCAACATCCACCCAGCGAGCATAAGAAATATTGCCGGACATCTTCAAGAGGAAACTAGATAATTTCCTTCAGGGAGTACCGGACCAACCGGTATGTGGGCCTGCGGGCCGCTCCAAGCAACAGCCTGGTGGACCAAACTCTCACAAGTCAAGCCTGGCCTCGGGCCGGGCTTGGAGTAGAAGAACTCCCAGAACCCCATCAACCAGGTATCAACCAACCAGGTATCAACCAACCAGGTAACGGGACAGTACGTCACTTTCGCCAGCCGGTTCCATTTTCTAGTCCGACAATTTTTGGTCCTGTGTATCATATACGGTCGAAAAACGACGTTTCTTTGTAGGACAACGGGTTGCTTAATGTCTAGTGCGGACATCACGACTTGGTTCTCTTTCTGTATTATCTGTAAACTTAAAAAAAAATATAAACTATAATTTTGACGATTTTTATACAGGATTGTTATTTCCTATATGCGTGCGTGCGAAGACGGTATTGGAAACCGGTTGGTGTATACATAACACAGCATTACCATACACAGGAGGCTGTGTCTGGCCGCCCATAGCGGGTGGAGGCTGACAGATTGACGGATGGGGAGAAAGTGACAGGAAAGGCGAAATGGACTGCAATGGAGCGTAGAATGTATGAAGAAGGGATATAAACGGAAGACAAAGTGGGAAGGAACGTAAAGACGGCACAGCCACGCTCAGACGGGACTTAGAATGTCGCCAAGAGTGTGTTAAAGTGAGTTCTTCGCGCGACACCTCGCTCGGGATTGTGTACATATTGACAGTAGTGAATTGACTTGTTACTGCAGCGTGCACGCCCAAGTCTCGCTGCCTGCGCATGTGCACTTTTATTTAGGAGTAACAACGTTTCGATGAATGAAAATGTAGATTTCCCTGTAAGCTTTCCTTAACAAAATCAGAGGTAAAAAAAAGGCTTTTATATATAGACGACCATTTAACTTAGTCCCACACCTTGTATGTATCAAGGAATAATTCTGAGAGGCGAGGCGGTATGGAGGTGCATTGAATTAAGAATATAAGAGACGTGTGATATTTGTGCCGGATGATATATACATAAAATCGTCCCGTAAAGCCTATTACATTATGACTACGTAATAATAGAGCATTTTGAGGACGAGGCGTGTTAGTGAACGCTACAAGAGTCGTATCGTAGTAGCAGCTTCGAAAGAGACATTAATCTGACTTTAATTTATTGAAGAAATTTCATATCCATTTATCACTAGTCCACTACTGATAGTTTCCTCTGTATAATTGGACACGTTTTTAGTTATTTGGTGATGCGTGTGTTGGAACACGCGAGGGGGAGTACGAGGCGGGAGTCTTTAACATAACCTGTTTAGCCTCTACGTTAAATATGACCCACACTTTCTCTCTCTTGCGCAAATTTCAACATATAAGGAGCTGTACTTTTTCTTGTGGCAGGTTTTGGCCACACCCAGGAGTAAAGCTTCACCTGTTGTAGGAGTTATAATCCCGTGCCATGTTCGTCCGGGGCTGGCACACATCTCCAGTTAGTGTTGTTAACCTGGTTGATGGGGTTCTGGGAGTGCTTCTACTCCCCCAGCCCGGCCTGAGGCCAGGCTTGACGTGTGAGAGTTTGGTCCACCAGGAGATCTGTTAGTAACAACTCTTGGAGAGTTGATCTGTTTCAATCTGAGGCTCTGTTACTAACAGCACTCTGGTGAGGTTCAAGTCAGGTGGGTGAAGGACCGACACAACCACCAAACCAACTCCCTTTAGTATGTTTTCATGTGTTTAAAAGTGAAAGCTGTGGGACTGCGTAGTGCGCGCGCGCACACAGGAAATTTATGAACTTAATGGTAATCCGGCTGCGGTTGAAAGTTAAGACGTTGCAAGACAGCCCAAGATTTCAAAAGTTGATGTTTGGTTGCCAAATGAAGGTTGGCAGCCATAACATAGGTGAAGTTGAGTACTGAGGCGGAGATCAGGGGCCAGATTCACGAAAACACTTACGCAAGCACTTACGAACGTGTACATCTTTCCTCAATCTTTGACGGCTTTGGTTACATTTATTAAACAGTTTACAAGCATGAAAACTTCTCAATCAACTGTTGTTATTGTTATAAACAGCCTCCTGGTGCTTCGGAGCTCATTAACTGTTTAATAATTGGAAACAAAGCCGCCAAAGATTGAGAAAAGATGTAAACGTTCGTAAGTGCTTGCGTAAGTGCTTTCGTGAATCTGGTCCCAGGTACACAATACAATGGAGATCGCGCCACTTTACAAAAGGAGGTAGTAAAGCAGATGTTTCGTTTTGTAACCAGAGAAATATAAAATCTTTGATTAATAAGCAGAATAATTATCGTAAATTTCTGTAATGAGAAATGTCAATTGACGCGAGCTGTTGTCTTAAGGGTTAGTGATGGCCGAATTAATCAAAGCAAGCATTAAAAGAGTGTAGAATCTGTTATCATTGAACTTTGCAACACCATCAAACAGAAAAAAAGGAAAATCAATGTTTTCCCATTGCTAAATATACAATAAAAACTTTTCCTTTTGTAATATTATTTCCCAATACATTCATCTGCCCGAAACGCTGCGCGTACTAGTGGCTTTACAAGATTGTAATTACTATGCTATATATCACTATCCCAATGATGTACCTTCTATATATATATATATATATATATATATAATATATATATATATATATAAAATAAATAAATCAATCAATAAACCTAGCTTTTTTTTGTCTTCATAAACAGCTAAGCCAAAAACAGCCAAACAGTATTGGGTATATTTGATAAAGCACTAAAGACGAATTGTCATTTTTTAATATATTTAATAAAATTTTGGTGGATCTTTGCATGGTTGTCAGCAAAGATCCTCCAAATGATGGTTGAACGTGTCTGTGATTCGTTTAGCCAGATAAGTTAACTGTTTATAATCATCACAGTGATTATAGTTATTGCATATGATGACTTTACTTAACCACGTCTCCTTGTTATGAAAAAAGTCATATTTTTAGTCATGTTCACCATTTTTGTTGACCAGTTTTGGAACCCTAGCCTAAAATATTTCAGATATACCACTGTTGTATAGTGCTGTTGAGAGTAACATAATTGCTTTCCAAAGGACATTGTATCAAACAAGCATTATTTTGCATCTTTGCATCTTGTTACCTTAAAGTTTTTTAACTATTTATATTTTTTTCTTGTTCACAGTGTGCGGCGACATCCACGGGCAGTTCTATGACCTCATGAAGCTATTTGAGGTCGGGGGCCCACCCAACTGTACTAAATATCTCTTCTTAGGGGACTATGTAGACAGGGGCTACTTTAGTATAGAGGTAAGTGGTGTATTCACCTAGTTGTGTTTGCGGGGGTTGAGCTTTGCTCTTTCGGCCCGCCTCTCAACTGTCAGTCAGCTGTTAACTAACTACTTTTTTTTCTCCACACACCCCCCAGGAAGCAGCCTGTGACAGCTGACTAACTCCCAGGTACTTATTTACTGCTAGGTAACAGGAGCATTCGGGGCGAAAGAAACTTTCCCCATTTGTTTCTGCCTGGTGCGGGAATCGAACCCGCGCCACAAAATTAAGTCCTGCGCGCTATCCACCAGGCTACGGGGCCCCTGTGTGTGTGTGTGTGTGTGTGTGTGTGTGTGTGTGTGTGTGTGTGTGTGTGTGTGTGTGTGTGTGTGTGTGTGTGTGTGTGTGTGGGGAGTAAGGGGGGAGGGAGTGGGTTTAAATGTGACTGGCCTAAATGTTCATATTAAATCCAGTTTTCTCATTTGGAAATTACTCTCAAAATTACAATTGGATGATGTGGGCCGACAGTACGAGGGGAACTAGTATATAGTGGCATAAGTTAACACCCACGTGCCAGGGAGCTTACAAGACCTTGTAAGCAGTTTTACACAAACTGCCGATGAAGCTTGTAACAAAAGATTAGTTAATTAGACTTCATCTTTAACACCGAATACCAGGGACAAAACTCTAGACCTGTATTTATACAATGAAGGGTAAACTAAGTTCCCCCCCCCCAAGTTATAAGACAGATGTGACAAAGTAAACAGGAGGCGTGGAGAAGTCGGTCTGTGTGTCAGAATTGCTTATCTAGCCAGGATAAAGATCAAACTGTGGTTGAGATAACATTATAACATACTGGCGTGAGAGAGATAGTATGAAGCGTAAGACTGTGAAGTGTGGTCGCGATGAGTCACAATAACGTGGCTAAAGTATGTTGACCAGACCACACACTAGAAGGTGAAAGGACGACGACGTTTCGGCCCGTCCTGAGCCATTCTCGACAATCGAGTTGAGAATGGACCAGGACGGACCGAAACGTCGTCGTCGTCCCTTGACCTTGTAGTGTGTGGTCTGGTCAACAGTGTGAACATCGTAGGCCACCACTCCTCACTCCCCTGCCCTCAAACATGTGAGCAATGTATAGAGAAAACGACCACGGTTTTTGTGTGTGTTGTATAGTGTGTGTGTGTGTACGTGTGTGTGTGTGTGTACGTGTGTGTGTGTGTGTGTGTACGTGTGTGTGTGTGTGTGTGTACGTGTGTGTGTGTACGTGTGTGTGTGTGTGTGTACGTGTGTGTGTGTGTGTGTGTACGTGTGTGTGTGTGTGTGTGTACGTGTGTGTGTGTGTGTGTACTCACCTATATGTGCTTGCAGGATCGAGCATTGACTCTTGGATCCCGCCTAAACTCCCAGAACCCCAGTGTGTGTGTGTGTGTGTGTGTGTGTGTGTGTGTGTGTGTGTGTGTGTGTGTGTGTGTGTGTGTGTGTGTGTGTGTGTGTGTGTGTGTGTGAGAGAGAGAGTGCGTGCGTGCGCCTTAAGGCCGCAGGTCTGGGCACAACAGCCTGCCTGGACGCAAGCGGCAGGATTGCGTCCATGTACACTTGCCAAACTGACCTAGAATGGGTAGAGTTGTGTAATGGCGAGTGGAGGTTGTTTGGGCTTGCAATGATGAAAATTGAAGGGTTGAAAGGCAGGATTGGTGGGTGGGAGAACGGGGGGCCATTACCCCAGAACTGGGGTAGTGCCAGCACGCACGGCGCCACCTGCCACAGGTGCCTCTTAATAGAGGTCAAACGTTGACGGTCTCGAGGCGGAATGTCTGCTCTCTTGATTTTGAAGATTATGGGCTACAATGTCTTAGAGTGGAGGGCTTGCTCATGTTAACGTCTTGTTACGTCTTGGGCGACATGCCTTCAGGCTCTTAAGAGTCGCGTATGCGTGCGCACACACTTGTGTGTGCACGCATACGCATACGTATACTTATACGTATACGCATACGCAAACTGTCTCACACAGTGTACATATTAAGGAACTGGAGATAGATCAGGCAAATCGGGGATCATAGAAAGTCACATTGATTAGTGAGAGGCGGTAGTCAAGGCGCATTATAAATGCAACCATTTGTGATGGTTCTATAAATAGGTGGGCGAGGGTGTGGCGAGCACTGACCTTGGTTACACTCGCTATTTATAGTTTGCCGTAGCTCTCGCCCATTTACGGGCTCACCATAGCCCGTGCTACATGCACACTTCGTTCTGAGTAGCTAAATCTAAAACAACTCTCGCCAGCTACACTATACCACCAAGATCACACACACACACACACACACACACCAGGAAGAGTCAACACCGTAAGGGCACTGTAGGTACAGGTGTCGGAGTATGATACCTGGTTGATGGGGTTCTGGGAGTTCTACTCCCCAAGCCCGGCCCGAGGCCAGGCTTGACTTAGAGTTTGGTCCACCAGGAAGTGGACCAGTGGAGGACCAGGTTGACCAGGACTGGTTGACCAGGACCAGTGGACCAGTGAAGTGGACCAGTTTGGTCCACTACAGGGGGAAGAGTCCTTACGAAAGCTGAACTCTGATAATCGTACACAGATCGTTCTATGCAATATAAGACCGAAAGGCCGCCCTGATGTCTGTCATCATTCAAGGCCAGGTGCACCCAGGTGTTGGAGCTTGGGTCTTTGAACGGGAAATGCTGATCCTGTGGCTTGTGCAGCAATGGCAGCATGAGCAATGCAACACGAAGTCGACCAAGCGCTATTAGCGCTTAAATCCTGCCCAGAAGACTATCCAGTTCAAATAATCGCTGATCGACCTAAAGTCCATCAGGTAAACTCATAACCCATAACTCATAACCCATGACTCATAACCCATAACCCATAACTCATAACTCATCTTACCTTTCGTAAGATGTTCAGATAAAAGTGCTGGCTGCTCAGAGTTGGGTAAGTTTACCTCCGTTGAAAAGTAGAGGTGCAATAGACATTCTCAAGAGAGCTCTATCAACATCAGAGGCCCGAGACTGTTCAACACGCTTCAACTACACATAAGGGGCATAACTGGCCGACCCATCACGGTATTAGAGCAACCCGTTCTCGCACTTTCTTAGTCAATATTGACTTATTAAATACGTGCATATGTGACATACTAAACATACTAGTTTACCTTGAAAAGCTTCATAGAAAACACTGACCTTACCTAACCTTCTTAGTATGTTAAGATAAGCATCTTATTGCTTCGTAATTACAATTATTACTTAACCTATACCTATAATAGGTTAAGTAATAATTATTATTACTTAACCTATACCTATAATAGGTTAAGTAATAATTGTAATTGCGAAGCAATAAGATGTTTATCTTAACATACTAAGAAGGTTAGGTAAGGTCGGTGTTTTCTATGAAGCTTTTCAAAGTAAACTAGTATGTTTAGTATGTCACATGCACGTATTTAATAAGTCAATATTGACTGTAAGAAAGTGCGAGAACGGGTTGGTTAGAGAGAGCTGGATAAGCACCTCCAAAGGATACGTAATCAACTAGGCTGTGAGTCATACGTCAGGCTGCGAGCAGCCGCGTCCAACAGCCTGGTTGACCAGACCAGGACTCGGATTCACGAAGTAGTTACGCAAGCACTTACAAATCTGTACATCTTTCCTCAATCTTTGGCGGATTCGATTACAATTATTAAATAGTTAAAGAGCTCCGAAGCCCCAGGAGGCTGTTTATAACAACAGTTGATTGGGAAGTTTTCATGCTTGTAAACTGTTTAATAAATATAACCAAAGGCGTCAAAGATTGAGGAAAGATGTACACGTTCGTAAGTACTTGCGTAACTGCTTCGTGAATCCGTCCAGCTGGAGGCCTGGTCAGAGACTGGGCCGCGGGGACCTTGAACCCCGGAACCACTGCAAGGTAAAGTAGGTATGGAATGGAATCTCCTTATCGCTTCTCGACCTTTTGGCTAAGATCAAATTGTGTAAAGTGTGTGGAATCTCCTTTACCTTGAGGTGGTCTACAGGATCAATGTTCTTGGGGCCCGGTCTCCGACCTGGCCTGCTGGTTGCCGGTCTGGTAAGCGAAATAGTTTGACGTCGCTGATTGTAGTGTGACGTATGAATTCCAGGTGATTAGACATCCTCCCACGTGCCAACCATCACATTGGTGGGTATCGGGTCGTCTTAACGTTTCACAGAGAATTAGGATCCATCATAATTCCTGCACCGAAATACCTCGGGAAGAGGTTCAGTCACCACTTTGTTGGAGACAAAACCTTAGAACACACAGCCTGAGGGGATACCACTCTGTTGATGGAATACACTCGACAGATCCGCTACTGTTGAAACTTGCTTAGTTTCTCCTGCATCTCCTGCAACTGACGGTACAGCAGCACCCACAGCAGCTGCATAAGGCAGCCCTTTGTCCTGGAAGAAGGGGAATGTGCGTGTGTGCGTGTGTGGGGGGCGTGGCTACCCCCTGGCCTTCTCGGGGCCTCTGAAAACTAAGCCACCTAGCTGAGACATAACTTATCATCACCAAACTCGGCGGTGCTTCACGGGAGACATCTCCCGTCACACAGGGTGCAGTCGCACCTCCACAGATCTCCAGTATCAGCTCTTGATACTGGTAATGGCTCAAAAGGGCCACCACTTACGGGCTATTCATGCCCGTGCCACCTTTTGGGTGGCTTAATCTTCATCAATCAATCGGTGGTGCTTGTCCCGAACAAGCACACGAGCAATAGACTACACGATTCACCAAGCGCTCTCAAGTCGCGGGCCGGGCTTGGGGGAGTAGAAGACCTAGAAACTCATCCAGGTACATTCCAGGGGCTTAACTGACAAATCTTGGCCAGAGTTCATTCTCTAATTACAGTTGCAAGTGCTGTACCGCTGACAACTGCTGATGGGATATAAAGTGTAGCCACTGCCGTAGGGGGAGATCTTACGGGCTATTCATGCCCATGCCATCTCTTGGGTGGCTTAATCTTTATCAGTCAGTAGAGCGGATGACAATAAGACAAACTGTCCGC